TGGTGAGACGGAGGTCTTCGCTGCTCTGATAGGTGTCCCTGTATGTGTCTGAATGAGGAGGAGGGGGATGAACCTCTGTGACTGGTTTCATAGTGATATAATGTTCTAAAACGCACCTCCCCAGGTTCACACAGTCTGCACATGCATAGACTGTGTGTGTATTAAACATACACGTGGTGAATAAAATGCAGACTGTACACAATGGCAGAATAATTGCACCCAGCAGCTGAAATACAGTTTTTGAACTCAATGATATTTTTACTAAAGTCACACTTTTTCTGCAGCATCAGCGACTCGTTTTTGGTGTACTAATAAATCAACACTTCAGAGATATGTGCTGACTGTGGATGTGTTGTATGACAAGAAAATACAGATGTTCATATAGAATTAAATTAATCAGATAACTCAACAGAATAACTAAAATTTCCACCAACATATGAGCAAGCAATGTTTTATTGTTAAAATCTGCAATGTCTGCAGTCACAATGCTGTTGAAAAAGAGAGTGAGTTCAGCAGATGCCACTAGTCTTTCAAGTGACACTTGAACAAGCAGGTTGGTCTGAAAATGTCTTACAATTCATTAGGAGTGACTGCATATGATTATTTGTGTCATACATTGTTTGTTAAATTATATAAAACTCACCCAACTTTAAACTCCCCAAAGCATTTTTATGGTCATTTTTGCTTTCTCAACACAACATTGTTATGTTGCCCTGGTAGGAGGTTAATAAACTGAGCTAACACCCTTTAAAGTTCTTCACTGCAGCAAGTAAAGAACAGATAATAAATCAAATGGGATAAATAAACACACATCAGTAGAACAGTAATTCTGAAGCAAACAGTGTTTCTGTTTTTAAGGGTCTTCTCAGTTTATGCAAGTAAATGACAAAATCATATGGCAGTTTTGTATACAGGGATTTAGAAAGCTGTTGAACATTTAAAATTAGGTATTATGTTAAAATAGTGAAAAGCATAGATATATGTTTATGATGCTTTTTTAAAAAGTAACTGGTCTATCAGGCTGTATGATCTAAAGTTTTGGAACAGGACCTTTAAATGAAACAAGGTTTCTCTGTGTTATTGCCTGATGAATAAGAACATATTTAAGTAGAACAAATATGTTAAACAAAGGATTTGATTCCTTGAAAACAAAAAATAACTCAAAACTTAAATATTGAAATATAGAATATAATAGAATAGAATAAAGCTGGACACTTTACTAAGTAAAGGTATTTTAAGGCCCCAGCCACATGGTGGTGTTGTTGTAGTTTCTTCCATACTCCAGCAAGAAGACAAGTCTTATTTGGACTTACTCCTTCTGTGTAAAACATATGTAGTCTGTGTGCAGATATTTTTTTCTGGTCCAAAAAAGAAAGGCATCTAGTAGAAATCTAGGCATCTAGTAGAAATCTAGTAAAATTAGAAAGGCAGACTGGAACTTGGATTAAGAAATGTCTCTAAAAGTGATATTGTATTATGTCATCTGTGGGTGATAAATGGTGATGGACTGGACTGAGGTAGTCCAGGGTTTGAACTACCCTTTCGCCCAATTTCTGGGACTAACTCAAACTACAAGCATGCTCCTTAAAAGATTAAGCTTTGGAAATCAATGAATAAATGCAAAGGTCTATATCTGAAGGAAGTTTTCAGCCATGATATATGAATATCATATGTAAGATTGTCTGTGAAGCAGAGCAACACAGCAGATGTTTGTGGACCAGCTCAAATACATTTCTATGATCCAATTATTTCCCCATGATCTTTAACACAGGTAAAATGGAAACAAAGGGTCAAATTTGGAAATTGAAACAGTTCTCTGTTTGGACTCATTCAGTAGAACGACTCACTCTTGGGTGAGAGGTGAAACGTCTTAAAGAAACCTACTCCGTCCAGTTGCCCTCCATGTAACTATTTATGGACTCAGTATTACTAACAAGAAATACTGTGAAAAATGTGATCCTGGATGATTTTGAACTAACATTCGACAGAAAGTGTTTATAGCAGCTTTCTCTCACAGTTGACATTATGGCTGATGGTAATCAATCAGAAAGTGAAAGCATGTGACTGTGTCATCATTTGCACAAGACACACGGAAATGCATATCTTTACAGTTTTCCAAAGTGTTGTACAAAATACTGACAACTAGTTCATTTTCATGCACATCTAAATATGGCTATACAGCTAGACTGATTGATTGGACAGCTGTTCTGTCATTATACAAACAGGGAGATAGAAGGGAATTGATTTGTGTACAGAAGCATGTTTGACTCAGCTACAGTGGGTAGTTACTATGATTCTCTTTTGAGCTGTTGACATGTTAAGTGTTAGCAAGTTAGCCAGTGATTAGAAGGTAAGTAAGTGAGCTATATATAATATGTTGTAATATATGTATGAGCGAGGTAGAGAGCAAGAAAGAGCACATTTTTATCTAGGTTGCTAGGTAATTTTCAAAGGCATGCTTATTTTACTGAAAATATATTGGTTACAGCTTACAATTTCTTCAAGAGAATTATGCACTATTTTATTTAATTTGTGTAATTTATGTGTAGAAGTGACCCAAATACACATAATCCTGTTTTTGTAAAACTCTTATATAATAACCTACCTAAATGTAAAGTTGAACTAATTTGTAAGCATTTTCACACATTGCCTTTAGAAATGGCATTTGATTTTATCAGTCCTGCAACTGTTTTTAAACAACGGTACGTGTCCCGCTGGTTATACTTGGTCTTTCTCATGTAGTACACGTGGAAAAATCAAACAAAAAAAAACCTGTTTGTCTGCTCTAGCTCTACAGGGTACACCTGTGTCGCTGTTGCTTTTGGTCATAATGGTAGTATTTGGTGAGTACTACAAAGTATTCACAGAGGTACCACATGGTGGTTTGAGGACCGCTGTCATGGACAATGGTAGTTAACGTGGAGCATTTGAAAGCAGCATTAGTTCCTATGGCGACTCTCCCGCCCCCTCGTCCCTCTTGTTTCTCCCTCCCCTTTGTGAGAGTGCGTGTGGTTCCGGCTGCAGATTCACCATAGCTCTCCCTGCGTCTCTCAGCAGCGTCACTCTATTTAAATTTATTAAGTCCTCGTCTGTGTGTCCACATCCCCTTCTGCTGCTGCCGCTCAGCGGTCACACAAGTTTCGCTTGTTTTTTGTGCCTAACAACAGGGAGACAGAGGGACAGAGTGGTTCGGTCTCTTTTTGACAATTTTCTGCTTCATCACGTCTGCAGAGATGCGCCGGAGCAGCAGCACCATCGGAGTAAGTGTTGAAGGAGAACAGCCTCGGAGTTTAGGGATGATTTTAATTTAAATATTAAACAGCGGGCCAGTTGAAAATGATCCCACAGTTTGTTCAGCTGGCGCGGCTCGGTTGTGTCTAGATTCGTAGTTTCTTTTATGGTCCTTGTTGTCTTTGTTGGCCTCACTGTGTTCAAACTTTCTCTGTCCTTTAGTGTATTGTCAAGTATGTAACACGTGTGCAGCCAATAAACTTCTAATGAGTCTGTTAAAGCACAGGGAGAATTCTAGTAGACTTGTGCTAAGTCACCACCTGAAATGAATGAACGAATTAGTACAGGGAGTTTGGACTTGAAGTGGTGTATGCATTTTTGTTAACTGTTTGTGACCATTTAGTATGAGTCAGTATTTAACTATATGTAGTCGAACATAATCCTGGTTTACGTATTGAATTATAAACATGGCAAAGACACTGTTGTTGACGTCGAGGCTGAGTCGGGTTGATTTTTGAGCCGGAGGAAAAACATAGATTCTGGGTTAAATCAAAAATACCTGTATTTTCTCTTTGTCCTTTTGTTAATAAATTAATACCGAAACGACTTTATCGTAGTTTGACGTATATTATTGATGATTTAGGGAAATGTTTGGCAAATAAAAGTATATTACGGTCTATGAAAATACTGTGTTCCCAAGTTGCTGCCCCCTACTGGCTTAAATTTAGATAATTTATTGCCCTTGCTGAGTACCAAAATGTTGTAGCTCTTGTAATGAGCTTGCATTCACACTAAATAACAATATAAACCGTTTTCTTAGTTAAAAAGTAAAAAAATATAGGGATTACAGGAAATTGAAACATACAAACAAAACAGATGACAAAGTAAATGAATTTTACTGGGCAGTGGTGGCTTAGTGGTTAAGGAAGTGGACTTGGGTCCAGAAAGCTTCAGGTTTGAATCCACCAGCTTCAGTAGGCACCGTGCCCACACACTGCTTCCTGGGCGGTTAAAGCTGCCCACTGTTCACTTTAGCGATGGGTTAAAAGCAGAGGTCACATCGTTGTGTGCAGTGGTGTGCTGTGTCACACTGACAAGTACTGTATTTTTCGGCCCATAAGGTGCACCGGGTTATAAGGCGCATTAAGTGAAACAACAGTCAGCGAAACAATTAAGTGGAACAATCAAGTATGCCGGGATCCCTCTTGTCAATATCCGAGTCAGTCTCGTTGCTGTTAATTGTTTAGTGATGATTCCAGCCTTCGTGAAAGCTCGGACGACATTTGAGACTGATACCTTAGCCCAAGCATCCACGATCCATTAGCAGATAGTGCCGTAACTCGCCCGGCGTTGCCTCCCTGTCTTGGTGAATGTGTTCGCCTTCTGTCATCCAATGCTCCCACGCAGCTCACAATTTACCTTTGAATGCTCCACCAATATTTGGTGGTTGTTATTCTGTGGTTAATCCACCCAGAATGATGGCAAGCCCAGAATTAGTTTGCTTCACTTGGGTTTTGACAATATCGGTGAGATGGGCGTGCATGGAGTCACAGATCAATAGGGGCGAAGAAAAGGGTAGTGACCTAAGTTGGACAGAAAAGGGCACTGTTGTTGTTCAGCCCTCCAGAGTCAGTTGTTTTGACGCTGTTCCGTGCGGAAATGCGGATGTTGTTTTGCAGAGAGAGAGTGTGTGTTTTGCCTGTATCGATAAAAAAAGGAGAAATAAAAAGAGTTCTTAACCACGAAAAAATCGACAGCCATGCGTCTAAGTCATCCTTCTGCATCGCACCATACATTGACAATACAAAAACATAATGCAGAGTCTCTGGGTGTTGGGTGGCATGACACGGCGTTGTTTGCTCCCAGTGTCCTTCAGTTGTGTGCCATCGTGTGATGCGCTGTGTAATTTGGCTTTATAAAATCGGTTCTAGGTCAGTAAGCACAACCAGAAGTAATTGCACCAGGTTATAAGGCGCACTGTCGATTTAAAAACAATTAAAGTCTTTCAAGTGTGCCATATAGTCTGAATATACAGTAGTTCACTTTCCTTCCTTCCAACCTTTCACTGAAATAATACATTTCCTCTGACCAACCAAATTGAACAAATAAAAAGGCCTGGGAATTGGAAAAACCTGTGATCAGAAGGTGCCGCAGGTTGAACCTGCTGGTTCTAAGTAGGACTACATTGGAACATAAACCTATGAAAAGAATCGTTTCAGGCGTATCACAAAGTTACAAATGACAGACAGTCGTGGATGATCCACGTTTCTATGGCATGTCCATTAACCATTAAGTTGCAAGATGTCTCTCCCACAGTGCCTGGAGCCTCAGTGTCCGTCAACTGCAATGTATATGTAGAAGTCCAGATCACATTGGTCTTTCAACTGAATGATTGAATTATGAAAACAGTTTGGACTATAAAATGGCTAGGACTTTCAGGGAGATTAAGCTCCTAGAATTGCTGGCTGCTGCATCACAGTTTGCATTGAAAGTTAGAAAGAAAGATGTGGTCTTGTTGTTTCCAGCAGACTTTTTAGAGCTTTGTCCATTACAACTAATCCTACATTGGACTATCATCTGCATTCAGATATCTATGCTTCACCAGGTGTGGTAGCTGTGGTTGTAATTGTTCTGTCTGAAGGTGTGGTTTCAAAAGGGAAAGTGAACCCTTTGATGTACCTGAAATAAAGGGTATCAAAGGAAAAGCATAGAGGCCGCTTTCTCGTCTGTTAAAAACAACACAGTGACATGTTTGGTCAAAGACTTAAGCGACAGAGGCTCGTGAGATTTAAATATGCCAGAGAAGGTGACTGACCACGTATTGTCCAAAGGCATCAGTCGATGCATCATTGGAGCTGCTGGCCAAAACCTACATCCACAAAAATCATCAGAGCACAGCTGAAGAGAAGACAATAGGTCTAAGTTAGCTGTATCTAAAATGTCTAATAATAGGATGTTGTTTCATCCTTCAAAGAGAACTTTATTTTTGTTTCGCCATGCTGAAAAGTCAAATTTACTACTTCTTACAACTTGGTGAAAACAACTCTGTGACATTAATTTTAAAAAAGTTGTTTGTCATGTATTGTGTATAGAACAGTGACTACACTCTTAATTTTGTTCTGTACCACAGTGCAAACTATAGTTTAAGTGTGAGTAGATTAATTTGTTCGGTAATGTGGTCTCTATCCACAGGTCCCAATCAAAAACATTGAGCGGGAGCTAATCTGCCCAATCTGCAAGGAGCTCTTCACTCACCCGCTGATCCTGCCATGTCAGCACAGCATCTGTCACAAGTGTGTCCGGGAGCTGCTGATGCTCAACCATGAGGACTCTTTTGATGCAGGCTCAGAGTGTTCACTACCGAGCAGCCCCAGGTCCAGAGTCCCCTCCCCGTCCATGGAGAGGCTGGACAGAATTGTGCGATCAGGTGGGTCTCGGGGTAAGGAAGCAAAACATTTTTTTCTGTAGATTAAGTTAATGCATATAGTTTTTATGGTTGGCAAATTAGTGCTGTAATTTAATTATTTTATTTTTTCATGTTGAAAAGATTTCTTGGATTTTGGGTTGAGAAATTGTTAAAGAAAACAAACCATTAAAACACCTTTTGTTTTTAGGGTGTGGCTAATCTGCTAAATCAGCTAGCCTTCTTCTTCAAAGTTCTTAGAATATATGAAAACATGGAGAAATTGATTGTCTACCTAGATACACAACACACGTTAGAAGAAAGTTTAAACAACTAATTTAAACCTAAAATACCTCCACTGTCTCCTGTGTCTAATAACACGGGGTTCACCAAACATCCTTCTCAAATGTGCAGGGATTTGAATCACTCAACATATGTGCTGTAAATGGGGAAAAAGTAAGCTAAATGCAGGGCGATAAAGTAACCTGTGTAGTCATTCAACAGTCGCACTGAAATAGGCCGCTATCGGTTAGTGTTAAAAAAAACAAAACAATATAAGACACATTTTCTGACTATTACTGTAGGTAGCATTTGAACCTATACTTAACTACTTTCTGAATGCAAACGTGGAGAAGTTGCAGCAGATGCTTCCTGTTAGCTCTCTAGTCTATTTTATACACAATATCCTGGTGAGAACATGCATGGTGAGAAAGCTCATTTGGAACTCATTCATTGTTCACATTTAAATGGGCCTTGTGTATAAAATGTATGCATAGGATCAGTATTTGACGGTATATGAGGTTTGTGTCAGTTTGTTTGTTACATCACTTCACACAGTGTTCCCCTTTTATAAAGGCACAAACATCTGAAAGAGGAAGTGCACACCTGGATGATATGGATGATTCATCTATTCTTTCAGTCCACTTATTTAAATTAGTGTTGTGTTGTGACGTACATAAAGTTCAAGACCACTCTGGCTGGACCTTTGTACTATTTACTAATTCTAAGCAGATTATTTACCTTCTGTAAAGTTAGACCCCTGCAAAACATTCCTTCTGCAAACAAACACGGCTTTTCAAGTAAGAATTAGTTGATGCTCTAACACACACTGTAGAAGTCAGTGAAGTTTAAGAGAAGTGTTTAGTTGTCGTCATTTGTGTATGTGTGGTAATACTATATAAATTATAATGGATATAATCATGTTAAATACAAATGTGGTTGCCATATGTGTTATAAAGTCATTGTTTCAGTTTGCAAAGTAAAATGATGTGAACTTCCTAACAATTTTGTATTTGTGAACTTCAAGATCTCAAGTGATCTCAGAGCAGTCAGAATTCAAGGGCAGAAAAGATGTGTGCTGTACTTTAAAACGGTTTTTCGGGGACTGTTCATCCAGTGTTTAGAAGCAGCAAGACTCAACATTCCCTCCCTGACCTTTCCTCCTAAATAAGTTCCTTCTTCACTGTAGAGCTGTCTCTGTTGACTCAGGAAACCAACAAACCTGCATGTAAGCAAACAAGTCTCATGCACAGGGAAAACAGTAAAGTTTTCATGAAATTTAGATTAATTTATGTGATAATACATGTGTCATGTATCTGTAATTCTCTTGGGATTTTTCCTGAGCAAGTTTTGTACTGTTTTGAAGAATGACTCAGACATATAATCAGATACCTCACGCCCTGAGCTTTGGTTACTCTGCATAATGCTCTTAGTGCAGAGAGAGCAGATCGGGGCCATCATGGTGATGCAACCTGACTGTCAAGAATGAATGAGGGATTAGGTTAAGATGGAGACCGAAAAGGCTTAAGGCTATGTTTATCACAGCAGGCTGCTCGGACAAGTCAGGTCGGCGTGGTTTCTCAGACTTCATTAACTGCATCTCATGTTTATGTTGCTGACCATGATGCATTCAGGTATAGTTAAAGTTCATGACAGGTGCACCTTCCTATGTTGGTAACCTTGAAGACTGGAATCCATTTTATTTCTCCAGTCAATTCTTCTATTAAAGCCCTTCAGTGGGAGAGTGGTTAGTGTTCCTTTCTTTCAGCAAGATTATGGGTCACTGACACTGCAAGAGTAGTTTAATTGGAAACTGTCTCTTTGACAAATTACTCAATTTGTGTATTTCTTTTCTTTTTTATTAATTGGACCTCATATTTTCAGGATACACATCAATACATTTTTCCTTAATACTGTATTTGTAGAAGTTCAGTTTAAGAGGCCTCAGTCCCAGTTTTAGTTGTAAAAAGTTTGTTATGAGCAATAGACTTTGATATTAAGTAAATACATATTGTTATATTAATATTTTCATATGACTAGATTACTCAACAATAACAATGTGGAAATCAGAACCAGAAACTGTATTGATGCCATGTAAATAAATAAATGAGGCAATGCTGAGGTAAATTTAGAAAATCAAGGTGTAAATATGTGTAAAGATCTTACTGTGAAAGTCTAAAAGGCCTGCTGAAATGTTTTCATCCCAATGCATCTGGTTCCACTTTTGATGCAAAATTTAGCTACCCAAGCATGCAGGAAATCAGACTGGTTTCCTTCTTTTTAACATTTTTCCAAACTCTTCCTAAGACAGCTATTTATCACTTAATATATTGGGCACATTGGCTGTAAAATTAAAAAAATGTAAATTGGAAGTGCACAAATCAAGGTTAAATTGTACTGGAAAACAACATGTATCTGCAATCCAACAGTGTTTTGTAATTGACATTGAACTGCATTGACCTATTTTATTAGTTTTAGGTTTTGTTGATTTGCTTCATGATTCAAAAATGTTGATGGTTCCACATCTCACTCCACATGCCATGTTGTATAATTTAAATTGTTTGTCTCACCTCACCTCTCTGTTCATTGCTTCCAGCCACAGTGCGAAGGTCGTTTGGGAGTCGAGGTAGACGTGTGCTGTGTATTTTGGGTAGCTGTAGTGAGTACAGTGTTTGACAGAAAACCTCTGTGAAATCATAGTTTGGTTCTACCTGTTTTTCCTTAGTCTGCCCCTAGCTCTGTCCACACAAACATTCAAACTCACAACACCCTTAAACGAATGTTGGTCAAGCGTTTTGGGCTGGGTAAAAAATATGGAGATTTAAAAATAACACTAATTGAATATAGGAAAACAGATGCAAGATCCAGCGAATGTTTACTACTAAGATTAACTAAGATGCCTGAGGGATTCTTTTCTTGGCAAAATGGTGATTCAATTCGATTCAGTGGTTTATTAAGAGGGAGAGCAACAGGAAGATCAGGAGAGGAAACCTAAAGTGATGAATCAGCAGAAGTGGCACAGTACAAGGTCAGACCAATGAGTGTCATAAGTTGTCTTTGAGGAAATGAAAGAAGCCAACACTTTACAAAGAGGTGTAGGATGATTATTAAGACTTAGTACATGCACAAATTAGCTAAATTTACCTTCATTTAGGCAAACATCACACTAAAGCTCCTTTATTGCAAGGGGGGAAAAACAAGCTCTATTGTATTGGACTTGGAACACATATTAAAAAACAAAAAACGAATACGTTTGGACTTGTTTAAATCTCTTAACTACTTTCTGATCAGTCTCTCTGTGACTACACCAAACAATGATAGACTCATGAGCCACATCCTGGTTTCAGGTCAGTTTTTAATAGTTTTGATGATGATGTATTAAAGTGTCAAGATTCTGTCCAAGTACAACAACGCTGATTAAGGTATTTTTGGAGAATAAGGTAGTCTATTAAAACAGTCTCCATGTAGGGTTTGTAAAAGCAGCCAATGCTTCAAACACTGTCCTTTCAGTAGACCTTTAACAGTTCTACATTTAACACTAACATAATTGTTATGCGACAATGGTGGCATTCAAGGATAGGCAACCATAAAATAAACTGTACATAAATAATGTAAAAATGAATTACCATGATTTATTAGAGAGTAAGGAAACGCATAGTGTGTCATATCCACTTTTTTCCTTTTCTTTTTCCTCCTTCAAAAACAATCCAAATATTTGTGGTCGGTCATGGTTCCTATACAGTATACATTTGTCTGAAATGCTATGAGCTTTTACCTCGAACACTGCAGGTGGAATAAGTCTGAGATCCCTACTTTTGGGAACACAGCGATAGACTGTAGATGACAGAGGCAGAAATGTAATTGAAATCTGTCCAGTCAAAAATGGACAGTCTGTTTGACCACGGTTATCTTGATGAGACCACAGGATGTAAACCATCATTTGGGACAATATTACAACAGTACAACTTGAAAAAAGAGAATAATTGTTTTGCCAAACTTTAGTTCTTCAGATGAGTTGTCAGATTGGTTAAAAAAAACCCTGACATGCACTGTCACAGAACATATATCACTCAGACACAGCATGAACATCACTACTTGTACAATGTAGCAGACTAGCTGACTGCAGCTGTTTTCTCTTCCTGCCACTGCAATTCCCTCATCTGTTGTTTTACATGTCACCTTATTGTGGATTGTTTACCTGAGGAGTGTTTGATTTAATTTTCAGGTCCAAGGAAATGAAGTGGAAATAGACTTGAAAACAGAGATAAATCCAGCACTCCTCGTTTCCCAAAAACGTGAAGCTTTTTGTGTGTGTGTGTGTGTGTGCATTCACTTTAGTTTGCTGGCCTTAGGTGGGTGGTGAAAGTATGTCCTGCCTGTGTCGGATGTGACCTAGTATAACAACCTAACGTTCACCTCATATTGCTTTGTTGAGCTGCTTTGTTATGATTGCATCAGTGACAAGAGCAACATTTAACAACTCTTAAAACCAGCTTGGCTTAGGAAGAGATTAGATGTTTTTTTGTTTTGTTTTTTTCTTTTTCAAAAATGAGGGTTGCTGCATTGAACTGGACATGCAATACAATTTCATACAACTACAACTAGTCCATTTTTCTGTCACAGTGTGATTGAGATGCATTGCTTGATTTCATAATAATGCTGTGGTAGTCTTCATATTTCATCTCTCCTGTCATTCGCATTCAGAATGTCCAGATCATTGTGAGCATTTTGATGTTTTCAGTCCTTATTTTTGCAAATATTTGCAGGGAAACATGGATTTCTCAAGTTCCTGTAAGCTCCAAGAATGTCCCATCTACCATTAGTCTTCATTCTCTCCCAGTACTCTTGGATTGTCTCTCTGATTGGGTGTCTCTAGGACCAAGGCTTGATATTCTGCAAGCTCTTGTGTTTTGCTCTATACATCCAGATCTCTGTTGAGAAGTGGTTACTGTTGGAAATCAAACACAAAGGGAGACATGCTGAAGCGCTATTGAAAAAGTATGTGAAACAGTACTTCCACAGAGACCATCAAATGCCTTTTTTTCTTCCCTAAAATTCATAATTGGCAAGTGGCTGGAGCGATGTAATGCTGCTTGTGCGAAACTCTGCCCAGAATCAGTGCACAAAAGGGCTTAACCCTTTTTTTGTCAGGCCCCTTTGGATTTGCGTTGAAAATTTTTCCTCCATAAAATATAGTATTGTTCACATGTGGAAATAGGGCTTCAGGCAAGAATTCAAACTGGGTGACTCAAGGCTGTGAATCTGCAGTGTTTATTCTCCTCTCACCTCTTTGCCTTGGCTCCCCTCCAGGCTCCATCTCATCCCCGGGTTGGCGCAAAGGGTCCGTGACCCCTCGCATCACCACCATCCACTGCCCTGGCTGTCAGCACGATATCGACCTTGGCGAGCGCGGCATCAGCATGTTGTTCCGTAACTTCACCCTGGAGAGCATTGTTGAGCGCTACCGCCAAGCTGCCCGCGCTGCTGTGGCCATCATGTGTAACATCTGCAAGCCTCCACCGCAGGAGGCCACAAAGAGCTGCATGGACTGCAAGGCTAGTTATTGCAACGAGTGCTTCAAGCTGCACCATCCGTGGGGAACACCCAAAGCTCAGCATGAATACGTTGGTCCTACGACAAACTTTAGGCCCAAGGAAAGTATTTTCAAAACTGTCCTTCTCTCCTTTGACCATAATGTCCTAAAAGAACAAAGTACAAAGAACAATTTCACTCAATTAAGTGATTGCATTTGTCAAGATTCAGATCATTGTTTAGCTGACAACATGATGTGTAATTGTAATGTTTTGTCACTTAGTTTTAGATTCACTTTATATTTAGAATGTTAGTTAAATTGATTCTGAGTTGAACATTTTTTAGAACTCTGTTTTCACTACTGTATATACAGACATAGCATGTGAGCAGGAAGGCACTATAAGAACTGTCGTCCATAAAAAACAAAAGTATTTTCTGACCCTGAATGAAATGGCTCATTTTCTGAATTATCCCAGGTGCTCATGTGTCCAGAGCATGAGATGGAGAAGGTGAACATGTACTGTGAGGTGTGTAGACGGCCGGTCTGTCATCTGTGCAAGCTGGGAGGATCCCACGCCAACCACAAGGTCACCTCCATGAGCAGTGCATACAAGATCCTGAAGGTGCCACAAACACATGCTGTTAAACATGGAGCTGTTATGTGTCTGTGTGTGTAGATGTGGGCCAGTGTTGAGGAAAACTGGACTTTGTAGTGCTGTCTGTAATTTAATACAATATAGGCCTAAGATGACAAGATTCAAATGGATCTAAAATACACAACCACTGAAACTGACCTGAAACAATCAAAGCCAAAATGGTCTATGGTGTGATGTTTTTGAGTAGGGATGTCAATTGATTTTTAATCATGCACATAATAATAGTATTTCTAGATGACTCAATGTTTCTAAATATTACAACCTTTTTTGGAATATACAGAAAGACATATCAGCAGGTGTTTTTCACACCTGATTTTACAGTGGTATGAAAAAGTTTGGGCACTCCTGATCATTTTCAAGATTTTCCTTTATGTATCATTGGTTGTTTGGAACAGCAATTTCAATTAAATATATCATATAGCAAACAAACACAGTGATATTTAGGAAGTGAAATGAAGTTTATAGGATTTACAGAAAGTGTGCAATAATTACATTAAACAAAAGTAGGCAGGTGCATAAATTTGGGCACCCTTGTTGTTTTATTGTTTTGAATACCTTTAGCACTAATTATTGGAACATAAAATTTGTTTGGTAAGCTCATTGACCCTTGACCTACATACACAGGTGAAGCCAATCATGAGAAAGGGTATTTAAGGTGGCCAGTTGCAAGTTGTTCTCCCCTTTGCATCTTCTCTGAAGACTGGCAACATGGGAGCCTCAAAACAACTGTCAAATGACCTGAAAACAAAGATTGTTCAACACCATGGTTTAGGGGAAGGATACAAAAAGCTAGCTCAGAGATTTCAGCTGTCAGTTTCCACTGTGAGGAACATAGTAAGAATTGGAAGACCACAGGCACAGTTCTAGTTAAGGCCCGTAGTGGCAGGCCAAGAAAAATCTAAGATAAGCAGAGGCAAAGGATGGTGAGAACAGTCAAGCTCAACCCACAGACCAGCTCCAAAGA